CGCTTTCCTTCAGGCAGTCTGATTCACCAAGTGAGCCATCAATATCAACACTAAAATAGACATAAAAAGCAAAGTAGTCAGAACACAATCGAAAAGGCATTGAATATATATTGTATATGCTGGAGAAAAGGGATTGAATCAGCAAAAGATCCCAACTTTTAGTTAGGCTCTGCAATATGAATCCTTTATTTACATTCCAGCTTTATTCAAACAAACAAGACTCATCAATCAGCTAAAAGAGCTCAACTTTCAGGAACAGCTATATGTATCTTCTGTATACAACATTTTGCTTTATTCGGAAACAACAAAACTCGTCAATCAGCTAAAAGATAACAACTTTTAATTGGGGTCGGTTATATGAATCCTTTATCAACATTCCAACTTTATTCAAAGAAACAAAACTATCAATCAGCGAAAAGAGCCCAATTTTCAGCAACGGTTATATGAGTCCTCTATCCATTTTGCTTTATTCGAAAGCAATAAACTCATCAATCAGCTAAAACATTCCAACTTTCAGTTGGGGTTGGCTATATGAATCCTTTATACATTTTAACTTTATTCAACGTAACAAGACTCATCAATCAGCTAAAAGAACCCAACTTTTAGTAACAGTTATATGAATTTTCTATATCCCTTTGCTCTATTAGGAAGCAACAACTCATAAATCCGCTAAAAGATCTCAACTTTTAGTTGGAGTCAACAATATGAATCCTCTATAGCCTATTCCGACATATTGAAAAGTAACAAGACTCATTAATCAGCTAATATCCTAACTTTTAGTTGGTGTTGGCTATATGAATCTTTTCTAGACAGTCCAACTTTATTTAAAGAAACAAGACTCATTAATCAGCTAAAATAGCCCAACTCTTTGTATGACTCTTCTGTATCCACTCTGCTCTATGCAGAAGCAACAGAACTCATCAATCAATAAAAGATCCCAACTTTTAGCTGGTCAGCTATATGAATCCTCTATATAAATTCCAAATTTTTTTTTCAAAGAAACAAGACTCATCGATCAGCTGAAAGAGCCCAACTATTAGTGACGGTTTTATGAATCTTCTGTATCCCTTCTGCTCTACTGAGAAGCAAAAAAACTCATCAATCAGCTAAAAGATCCCAACTCTTAGTTGGAGTCAATTATATGATTCTATCTATTCAGAAACAATAAAACTCATCAATCAGCTAAAAGATCCCTACTTTTATTCAGAATCAACTACACAAATCCTCTATCTATTCCCCTAACTTTTAGTTGAGGTCAGCATGTGAATCATTTATCGACGTTCGAACTTAATTCAAAGAAACAAGACTCATCAATCAATTAAAAGAAACCCCTAACTTTTAGTAACAGTTATATCAATCTTCTATATCCATTTTGCTTTCTTCAGAAGCAAAAAGACTAATCATCAATAAGCTAAAAGGTAGAGTCAACTATATGAATCTTATATCTATTCCTCTTTATTGAGAAGTAACAAAGACTCATTAATCAGCTAAAAGATGCCAAATTTTAGTTGAGATCAGTTATATGAACCCTTTATCAGCATTCCAACTTTATTCAAAGAAACAAGACTCATCAATCAGCTAAAAGAGCTCAACTTTCAGTAACGGTTATACGAATCTTCTTTATCAGTTCTGCTTGATTAGGAAGCAAAAAAAACCTCATCAATCAGCAAAAAGATCTCAACTTTTAGTTGAAGTCAACTATATGAATCCTCTATATATATTCCGCTCTATCGAGAAGTAACAAAGACTCATTAATCAGCTAAAAGATCCCAAATTTTGATTGAGATCAGCTATATGAGCCCTTTATCAGCATTCCAACTTTATTCAAAGAAACAAAACTCATCAATCAGCTAAAATACCCCAACTTTTTTACATGAATCTTGTATATCCATTTTGCTTAGTTAAGAAACCAAAAAAAAAACTCATCAATCAGCTAAAAGAAAAAACACCCAATTTAGCAAATACAGCACAGAATCAGTAAGTCAAATTCGACACACTAAATAGTTACCTAGCATTAGTTGAACCATTGAACCCCTGCATAGACCAAGAATACCCAGAAACTGAGAAATTGACATCAGGGGTGACTATATCTTCATAATTATAGTCATACAACCAGTTGGTGTTTTCCGGTAGAACCATCTCCGATCAACCGCCGGAATTTCAAGAAAATATTTCCGGTGACCAGAAAAAAAAATTGGAAATGGGAAAGTGAAAAGGGGAAGAATTTAAACAAAGGGGTTTTCAATAACCAAAGATTAGAGATTGGAATTTGGAATTTGGAATTTGGAGACAATTGGTGATTCTTGTTTGTTTATGAAACTATATATTGAGAATTTGACAATTACACAAACCTCAGGGGGTATTTTTTTAATATGCTACAAATTGGCCCCCTTTTTTTTTTCTTTTTTTTTTTATTTGTAAAAAATAAATTAAAAAATTGTGTTCCCTCTATTATAGAGTATTTTTAATATTTATTACTCTACTTTTTTAATTATTGTTATAGATCAAATGATATTTTAGTGAGTTTTGAGTTATAAAATAATGTTTTTAGGTTTTTGACTATCGCTTGTGAAGTTAGCCTAATCAAATTTAGTGATACATTTATAAAAAAATTTGACCTAGAAAGTTGTGATGACACGTTTATAAGGTTTCTTGACTAGAAAAATTAATGTAATTTTGGAGTTAATGTAACAGAATTCAATGACACGTTTATAAAGTTCTTTGATCTATAAAATTGTGATGACGCGTTTATTAAATAATCTAACCGAAAAAATTAATGTAAGTTTGGAGTTAGTCTAACTGAATTTAGTGACACATTTATAAAATTTTCTGACCTGATGAATTGATAGAATTTTGAAGTTACTCAAACTAAATATAGTGACACATTTATAAAGTTCTCAGATCTAAAAAGTTGTGATGACACATTTATAAATTTTCTGACATGAAAAATTATGTAACTTTGGAAATAGCCTAACTGAATTTAGTGACACATTTATAAAGTTTTTTTCCCTAAAATATTGAAGTCACACGTTTATAAAGTTTAAACAAATTGCGATGACACATTTATAAAAAAATTTGGCCTGAGAAATTGAGGTAATTTTAGAGTTCGTCTAATCAAATTTAGTGACACGTTTATAAAGTTTTTTGACCTAACAAATTATGATGACACGTTTATTAAAAAAATTACCTAAAAAATTAATGTAGTTTTGGAGTTAGCCTAATCGAATTAAGCTATGTAGATAGATAAAAATTTTTTTATGTATATACATTATATGTATGTTCAGTCTCCTAGGCTTCTTCCTGAGTTTACTTCTTTATATCTTAACTTCACTTAATGAAAATTCTTATTTCACCATTTTTAAGACATGTATCATGTATTTATTGAATTGATATAAGCACCGAATATACATAAGACTTTAGTATAATATTAAGAAGTTAGATAATGGGATTAAACAAATGTTTGAATTTTTTTTCCTTGATTAATAAATGGGGAGAGTTGGTTAAAACTTCAAACTCAACAATAGAGTATAGTGATGACAGATTGACAGTTAAGATATTCTAAGTTTAGTTGTCCAGGTTAGAGGTAAGCCACTAAATTAAACAAGGATTAATTAACTACTCATTCATTTCCTAATTAAGTTAATAGTTCATTGAACATGTCATATTTAGTATTGTCATTATAATTTATTCAACATATTCTCCTTGAGATTCGTTGGAAATGAAAAAACTACTGTTATTCCTATCACATCAGCCGATTTGAGTCGATTCATTCTTATTAGTAGATAACGCAAGAGAGAAATTTTGACCTCCAGAATAGAGAGGGAGTAATTGTGAACCTCTTGTCAATTGATTTTGAATAGCTTTATCTAGTGCAACACCTACATATCAATTTACAATGTCTCAATCCCAGACCATATAAAAGTTTTTTTTTAATTATAGAACCTCGATCTCAAATTCTTGGAGTTGTCTTTTTGATAAATATCGATATTTGTATGGAAGCTTCATAAGCTAATAAAACAAGGGAACATGTCCAAACTTGATGACAAAATGTGCATTGAGGCTAAATAATTGAAGTTAGGTTGCCATGTGCTTCTTGTTTTAAAATTTAATAAAGTCATGAAATATAGTATATTATTGAGAATTTTCCTTGTGTATAATTGGCTTGAAAGAAAAAGTTTATAAGTGCAAAGAATTAAAACAAGTTTTTGGGACCTATATTGTCATGTTTGGACCCATTGAATATAAAATGTTAAGTGCCCTTTGCTTATTCACTTCCCAATTTTAGGAAGCTTCCTTCCCCTGCTTCTTCTCCTACAAGCACGATGGCCTATTAACTCAGTGGTAGAGTGCGCCATTGATAATTAAGTTGTCATGTCTCGACTGTAAAGGTTTTCTATTGCATGGATAGTTCAATGTATTTATTAGTGCCTGAAGATGAGAGATGGTCCCATCCATATGATCATTCAAGGCGCGTTAATTAGAATTTTTGATTGATTATCCCTTTTTGGGATAAATATTTAATAAATGATTATTTTCTCAAGGAAAAAAGCAGAATCAGTATTTGAAGCTTATAAGTTGAAAATTTCAGTTATAAATGAAATAATTTATAAATATTAAATGAAATTCTTAAAATAAACATAAGATTTAGATTAAAAGTACTGGGTTTGGCCTAACACGCAAACTATATACTAGCTCTGCCCCTACTCAACAACAACTCAAGGGCTATCTATATTCGCTCTAACTCTTCAAAAATGTCGATGAGTACACATTGAATTCTTCAAAAGTAGTGTTTTCTCAGAGGATCTGACATGAGTGCGTCAATAATTTTGAAGAGTACTCCTATTTTTATCCGATGAGGGACAATTGACACATAACTGGATCTCTATCTCTAAATTATTTGTCAGATAAAAGTGTCCTCATTTTTAGGGGATTCATATAACAGCATCTCCAAAATGGATTACAAAGCTACAGACTAGTTCAAGTACAGATATTGCATTTGATAACTACTAAGTACTATATTACTAGCTCAATCCTGTCGATACGTACAACTAAAAGCCGTTACATGCAACTCACCGCAACAAGCCAACAATCTCACCTGCTGCTGCATCAACTAAAGATGAACTATTTGTGTTGTGGACGTCTCATTTTGAGGAGATGAGAAACACCAGCCACAACATGCAGTCGGCTACTTGGAACACCCGTCTTTGCAAGTGCCCTCCCGTATTTGTCCAGAAGAACAAAGCAAGGAACATACTTAATGTCATAATGGAGAAGCTGGATTTACAAATAGAAAGAGATCAATCAGCTAAAACCAAAAGAGTGAAAAGTCAATCATTTCCAACATGAAGTAGATGGATTACTCCAAAGGCAATACACAAAGTGACCGGACCACTCAAACAACAGAAAGAATTGTTGTTGTTTTTTTTTTTTTTTTTTTTTTTTATTCTCAAAAAAAACAACAGAAAGAATTGTTCTTTGGTCTAATTACTTTGTTTCGACTTTCCCAATTTTCAAATGTATAGTTTAACATAGCTATCACCACAGAGTAACTTTCAATTATATTAGTCAACTTGGCAGTGCTATGCATGTGTAGTGCTTTTCCGCTCCACCTAGAATGAATGCTAGAGTTGTTGCATTGGAAGAACTTCAACGACAGGATCTAAAATAATTTAAGTATAAAGAAACTTAGCTATAATGTAAAAAGACTTCGGAAGGATGACATTTAACTTGAATATATTGCTGACAATAGTTTGCAGTTTTACATAACATATTGAAAAGATATGTTGTCATAAACAATTTATCAAACGAATCCTATGGCCAAAATGCACTCTATCCTAGTCAGTTGATTCATGAAGGTAACTTAACATAACCAAGTAAAACCCCCGCAAGTGGGGTCTGGGGAGGGTAGAGTGTATGCAGACCTTATCCCTACCTCGTGGAGGTAGAGAGATTGTTTCCGAAAGACCCTCAGCTCAAGTAACACATATCAAAGGCAGTATGAAAAGAAAATGCAAAATTAAAGAAGACATAGAAAATAACAGGGAAAGGCTTTCATGATATTTAACAACAGCAAAAAAGGAACAATAACGAAGGTAACTTAACATAGTAATAATATAAAAATAAACTTTGAACACAGAAAGAAGAAAAGAACTATGTCAACAACCAAACAACAAAAGTGAGAGGTCCCTCTCAGTTCTTGGAGTATGCAAAATCCACGTGCATCCATCCAAACAACTGAAAATAAATTAAAAGAGACTTGCGGAAAATGTGAGAATACAACCAGTCCATGATTATCAAGTATGATATAAAAATAACCTTTAAATACACAAGAAGAAAAGAACTATATCAGCAACCAAACAACAAAAGTATGAGGCCCCTCTCAGTTCTTGGAGTAAGCATAATCTAAACGTATCTGTCCATCAACTGACTATCAGTTAAAACAGACTTCTGAAAAATGTGAGAATGCAATGTATAGAGTATTAAGAGTACCTCAGGCAACCATTGGTCATTCTCTGCATCAGCCATAACAATGTTGAGCCAGTCAGAGTTCCTGTTCTCAACTTCAGTAACGAAATTAACCAACAAATTGCAGAGCCGGCACTTTGGGGAGTAAAATTCAATTACAGTACCCTCTTTTTCACTGGCCAAGGCACACGCTAATGCACTCTGCTCGAGCTCCGCTTGCTCTGCAGGAGTCAATTTCTTCTTCACCAACTTCAAGGTATTATTTTGGTTGACTCCACCATTCGACTGGAAATTAAATTCGGGTGATAAAGGTTCAGGTTTTGAGATATTTTGGATGAAATTAAACACTCCAGAGCCAAGATTCTTGAATGGTTTGAATAGCCAAGGAGTTTCAAAGGTACAAGGCAAAGGGTTCTTTGGGTTTCGGTTATGAACATCCCAAGGCCATTTTAAGCAAAAGGGAGAGTTGTTGGAAGTAGAATCCATCTTTTCCAAGAATTATGTGTGTTTACATCACCATAAAAGCAGCTACTCATTCACACAACATCATAGCAGGAACAAGCACCAACGGGACAACCAATGTGCACACACCGAATCTGAAAACATAAGACAGTTTATAATTACTGACTTGACAAACAACATATTAGTCGTTATTGTTCCAAGAAGGTAATGGAGGTAGTATATAACATGTGGATTTGGTAGAACCCAATAGCTTTGATCCAAACCTTTTTTACGACAACAACATACCCAAATCCCACAAGTGGAGTCTAGAGAAGGAAGAGTGTACACAAACTTTACCCCTACCTCTACCCCTACCTTGGGAGTTAGAGAGGAGTTAGAGAGATTTTTTTTGATAGATCATCGGCTCAAGGAAAACATATCAATCAAATAATATAGAAAGCATGACAAAGCATGTTGGGAAAAAAAAAGGAGGAACATCAACTACAAATAAAATAGTGCGATAATTAAATTCATAATCCTGTCCCTGTGTATGCGTTAAAAATCACTACATATGTACAAAAATTAAACGCATAACCCAATTACAAGTACTCGAGGCCATGCTCTCGTATCTGGAACCCATAAAGTTCAAATCCTGGCTCCACCTCCCGTCAAAGATAGTTTAAAGGTCAATTTTTCCAAAAATTGACCATCAAAATGATTATAATGTACTTAATCTTTTGCTGCAGAGCTTAATCAATCATTCACAAAATTTTCCACTCTAATTCAATGTCTTTGCTACAAAGCTTAACCATTTGATAATATTTCTATACTAATCCAATAAGTTTACACAATTCACTCATTTAACATCATTTCTACTTAATTTAAACTACTAATGTGAAACATTAACTCTTTAAATTAGTCAATTTTATGTCTGAAATCGAATTTAACATTTCTGTATATGAATACAAAGCAATGGAAGAAGGAATATATATCGAAAGTGAGAGAAGACAGAACTTACAGCGGTGAAATCGCCGTAAAGGATTTGACCGGAGTGAGCTCGTCGGAGAAGGACTTCGCCGGAGGAACTTGCCGGTGAGTATGTAATTTGAACTTCGGTCCCAAAATGTGTGAAATTTTTGGGTTCGCATGGGTCCGTTCTAGAGGAAGTTTTGGGCCTGTAAGTGAAGCCCATTGGGCTTATAATCCATTATATGCAATTCGAATCACTTGGTCCTTTTGGTAGAAATTTCACGGGGAAACCTGTTTTGACACGTCATTTAATTTGTATTCACCTTTTAAAAATTTTACTATATATATATACCTATGTCATATATGCGGTGTTTGAAGTTAAACAGTTAACAAATCAAACTCCAAACATTGTGTATGAAGTTACATCCGAAGAAAAAATAGTTGGACTTCAGTTATATTTCCGCCATAGAAATGAAATTAAGAAGAAATATGACTTTATGAGATACTAATGATTATTAGAGCATGTTTGGATTGACTTATTTTAGGTGTATTTAAACAGTTTTATAGTGTTTGGGTAAAATAAAAAGTATTTTAAGACACTTGATTTTAAGACAAAATAATAAAAATAAGTTGAAAAACTCATATATTAGACTTTACTTATGTCTCTTGGCTTATATAAGACATAAGTTGTAAGTCTAGTCAAATAATCTCTTAGTTCATTGACCATATGAAAAATGTAAGGGTAACAAACGGGAGAATCGAGTTAGATATGAACAGATTGAAAATGAGTCAAGTAAAATAGATAAATTATCCAACTCACTCATATTTGATGACACACTCTATCTAACTTAAATCCTACTTCTTTCTCAGATTTAAAATTTTAACTAAGAAATTTGAAAAATAAAAATATAGTAGGAATTTATAATTTTGGGAAAACCAAAAAAAGGAAAAAAAATAAGAAGGGAGAATTACAATCTTACCCTCAATTGAGATATCCTTCTAGTGGCCAATAGTCATCAAGATTCATCAAATGGATATAATATAACTTTTTAAAAAGTACAAAAAATAGGCTATCATTTTTCTTCTTAGTTTCAACACCAAAAATTATGGCAAACACAACAAATTTGAACATTATATTTGAAGCTCTTTCACTCATTCCCAAGATTCACAATATTGAAAAAATTCAGAAAAAGGCAAAAACAATAAGCCAAAAAAAAGAAGAAATTCAAGAAAATTCACCACCAAAAACTACAAGAAGATTAGCATTAAGCATTGGTTCAATTGCTTTATTTGCAAATTCAAGAATTGGAAATTCACTTGCTGAAGATAATAATGGATTTTTTATCACTGGTCCACTACAAGACCCTTCAGTATCCACCAGTAAGTTTTTATTTTGTACATTTTTTTGGCCACGGGTTCAAGCGCGTTAACAGTCATTAATCCTTGCATTATAGAATATCCCTGACTCTGTTAATGCGGAATGTTTTATGCACTAGATTACCATTTATTTTTAAAAAAATCTAAATTTGCCAATGAAATTGCTCTATTTTGATCTGTTTGTGTTCTTGCCTTAGCAAATCGTCTCGTATATGTCCTTTGTCTTTAATGGAATTCTAGCGTGAAATGAATGGACCCCACATTCTAAGTTATTCTAGAAAAAAAAAATTCCCCTCAATTTGAACCATTTTTTAAAACTTAACAACTTAATCTTAAAGATGACATAATAACAACTTAGTTAGCTTTTCTGGGAATGTATATATATATATATATGTGTGTGTGTCTAGTTTCATCTCGTATTTGTCCTTGTCATTAACAAAGTTGTATAGCATGGAATGGGTGAACCCCACCTGTCCAAATTATTCGAGTAAAAAAAGTCTGAATTTAAAATTACCCTTACCTCAGACCCTATTAGGTGTTTGGGGCAAAAAAAATAGTTTTTTTTTTCCTAATCAAGGGGTAATATTAGACCAAAAGTTTAAAGGAAGGCAAAGTTACATTAACTTTAAAAAGTACACGAGCAAATTTGACCCTTTCGCCCCTTTTAACTCATTACATATAATATAAGATATCATGAATCGAGTCTGTTAAATTAGGTCTTGGGCCTAACTCACGCCACATTGCACAAGCCTTATAAGGAGTCCACCCAATTCATTAACCACCAATGTGAGACTTTTGTCATTGAGTCGATTGTTCATAACTTTACTATTTTGATAAAAGTCGTTATGTTTGATTGTAGACATCATAAACAAGGATACAGGTACAAGATCATTTCTTAAGAAAGGAATGTACATTGCTAATATTGGAACAAAAGGGAGGATTCATAGGTTGAAGAGATATGCATTTGATTTATTGGCATTAGGGGATTTGATTGGAACAGATGCTTGGAATTATGTGAGGAAATATTTGAGGATTAAATCTACATTTATGTATTATGATTTTGATGAAGTTATCACAGCTGCAGAAATGAATGATAAACAACCTCTTACTGATCTTGCTAATCGATTATTCGATAACGTTGAGAAGGTACATTTGATTCGTGTGTTCATTTTGTTTGCCTGATGTTATATGTTGCTCGTACCCTTCAAAAATATTGACCCACCTGTGTTGTATCTTTGAAAAATACAGAGGTGAAGAGTCTGAGCAATATATGCTTGATGTTAGGTTGGTCGCGTCAGTGTCAGATCCTTGAAAATGCATGTTTTTTTGAGGATGCGAAACACACTATGCTGAGAATAGTGTTTTTGAAGAGTCTGAGTAATATACATAGATAGGTTTGATGTTATGTTGATTGGACCCTCCAAAGATGTTGTCATACCTATGTTGGATCCATTGCATAGCTTTTGGAGGATTCGACATAAACTCGATTGACAGATATATAGCAGTACTTTTGAAGAGTCTGAGAGACATAGGTCTGATACTATGTTGGTCGGATCCTCCAAAAATATTGTTGTGCCCGTATCGAATCCTCCAAAATCTTACTTACACACTCTCTGGTGGTATTATTGAAGAGTCCGAGCAACATAGGTCTGATACTATGTTGGTCGGACCCTCCAAAAATATTGTTGTGCCTGTATTGGATCCTCCAAAATCTTACACACGCAAGCTCTGACAGTATGATCCGAGCAACATAGGTCTGATGTTATATGTTCCTCAGACACTCCAAAAATATTGTTGGATCCTTACAAAAATGCATGGATTTTGTAGGATTACGCACATATATGGTCGGTGGCTATCAATATTTTTGAAGAGTCTGAACCACGCAAGCCTTATGATGTATATAGGTAGCAAATTGCAAGTTTTTGATAACCCCTTTGTGTGTTTGCTCCAATATTTTTATGCAGCTTGAAGATGCTGTGAAGAAAAAGAACCTGCCTCAAACACAATCATGTTATCAAGAAACAACTACTATTCTTCAACAAGTCATGGATAGAATGGCATAAACAAAACATATGTTTAATTATATTCTGTTATTTAGTCATTTTGACAAATGTTTCTTTGTAAATTTTGGAATTGTCAATAACACTTTGATGGAGATTATACTCAATTTGAATAGTCTATACTCCACACATGAAGTTGGTATCTATTGTCACATAAAAAAATAGTCAGCTCAGTGCATGAAGCATCTCCGATCTATACATGATCGGTGGAACGGGGGAAGGGCCACATTCCAAGACTTATTCTAAGATCGAACATGTGACTTATAAGTCACACAAAGATAACTATACCGTTTTAGCAAAATTGCCACATTCCAAAACTAATTCCAAGGTCGAACATGTGACCTATAAGTCATACAAAGATAACTATATCGTTTTAGCAATATTCAACTATAATGAAACATTACAAAAAATAGGCAAATAAAAATTGAAATGGAGATGCGGGGTATCGATCCCCGTACCTCTCGCATGCTAAGCGAGCGCTCTACCATCTGAGCTACATCCCCTTCTTGTTTAAATTTACCACGTGCAACTAGTTTAACATAACTCATCTTCCCAACCCAATCTAATCGTGGTACATATTTCTAACATATAGTATCGTGTGAATATATTATAAGGTGAGTTGTTAAATTAATCAGTATTTTTGATTGTATTTTTTTGGTTGTATATCGTTTATATCCATATTAGAAAATATTATAAAGCATATATGAGATATAAATAAGCACTCATTAAACAAAAAAATTGATTGGTGT